CATTCTCAAGATATTGGTGTTTATTAGCCCCACATGTTGAATGTAGGGCTGTACTGTAGTGTTAATAGCCCTACTAGTGTGGCACGGACTCTCACTCCCGCTCCATCCTCCATCCTCAGGATGGAGCATGGAGTATTTATTGTTTGCTTTGATCTAGGTTGGCACTTCGTATAGTTCATAACTGACAACATCAGAGAGTGCATTTGGGTCATTGTGACTGTAAAAAAGGTTACAGTCATCGGCAAATTGGAGAAATGAAACTAAAATCAGAGGATTTCTCAAGATCATTAAATTCAAAAGATTTTCACAAGAATATTCTCTGACAAATTAATTACCAGGTGTTACGGTGTTTTGGGCAAATGTAAAAGAAGTAAATATGGGAAATGATCAGATAAATCTGATAGTATAATTGCTGATTTTGAGGTTAGTAATATAGTTGATAGAATATTGTCCATTAAAGTGGCTGAAGTGTTGTTTCGGCATGTTCAAGTTGCAGAGACATATTATTCAATTTTTGGAGAGTAAATTTTTATTTTCAGCCTGCACTTTGCACGATGGCCTCAGAAGTATACGCGATCGATTTTTCCATATCAGAGTGATGTGATTCCATATCATTCATTCTGCAGAGGAGATCTTGCTGATTTAACAAGACAAGATCCAACTTTTCCTGAATGATCCCCGATTTCAGGTCTCGAAGCTCATTTGAAAATATAGTCATCAGGGAATTCTTAGCAGCCGAGGCGGACTCTTCTGCCAGGGTTGCAGGATCACACACGTATGGTATTGGCAGTACTACTAGCACCTTCAGAATCGGTAGATGATTCAGCCCATACAGACGTGTTTTTGTCCCTTTTTGGAGGCAAACCTGAGCTAGAAGTAGCAAGATAACTGTACATGTGGATGTTTCTTGGCAAGCTGGGTCGATGGCATAAATATGTGAAGATTTGAGGTGATTTTATTTGATATAAGAAGAGATGTAAAGCGGAACAAAATTACACTCCTGCTCACTCCAAGGGCGCCGTCAATCAAGTGAGGAGATGTATTTCATTTTGAGCAAGTGTCATCTGGAGAATAGGGAAAAGTCAGTTTTGCAAAAATGGACAGGACAGAAATCTGCTAAAAATGACCAAGTTCAGCTCATTAATGTGCACATATTCTGTATCTAGGAAGGTAAACAACAGAAAGTCATGAAATTTTTACCAGAGGGCCACATGATTACCTCTAAGAACTAAGTGAAAAATAAAATGAAAAAAATTTTAAAATAAAATACAAATATGGCAAAAATATGCAAATTAGGCAATAATTAGTAATCAATTGAAACCTATTCAATCAAATTTTCCCTAAACAGCAAACTGGAATAACCTATAGTTCTTAAAAAGGGTGGAAGGAGGATCTCAGAGCATAAGGCTGAGTATTTTTGTCACCAGTCTCTCGTTTTTACCCAACGATTATCGCTCTGTTCATGCCTTTTTTTTTCACATTGCACATGCATTGAGCCGACTAATAGCAAAGCTTGGTCCGCATCTTGGTTCCACCATTTTCAGTGGCAGGGGATAGTATCTTGTTTTTATCACGCGACTGTCCTTGCATGCATGCTGTGACCTGTAAGCTGGTACCATCAGCCTGACGCAGGGGCAGTGTGATAAACCCAAACAGCATGAACGTTGTGATCGTTGTCGGGTAAAAGCAAGAGATTGGTGACTAAAAATCTCATTTTTTTCAAAACGTGGATCATCCACTTTGCAAGTTCGATGAAAAAACCCATAGCAATTGGCTCAAAGTCAAATGAAGGACATGTACATGTAAAACGGAGTAGTGATTTTGAGTTCTTGGAGTAATGCTGGATGTGTTCTGTCAGGTGTTATTTAGCACCTGTAAACTACCCCCTGAACTGTGGGGTCCATTGGGAGCTCTGCAAAATCACCTAAGCTAACGAGTAATAAAGTGATCGTCTTTTTTGTAATCTTTATTTTTTTAGACCAAGAGCACTGTATATTTTACATAGCGACTGAATTATGATTTCTCCCACTCACAAAACAGCCTTCAGTATTTTGACAGTGGTTACTTGTCAACACAGGTGCTTTAACAGACCTCCCTCTAATTTAGACAAAAAGGAGTCTGGAGTTGTCACCGTTGTGACTGCTTTCACATACGGTTTGATTGACCAGACATTCGCCTGCCACTGCTTGGTACATGTACATAAAGGGGTCAGGATCAAATGCAATTCAGAATTTGTCCTTTGCAAAAATTCATGTGTATTGTTTACGGTTTTACAGTGGCAATAAATTTCTTCTTAATTTTGACGAAAGCAAATTCCCTGTGATTTTATCTACACATACTGAACATTGTTGTCTGAGGGGTAAGTAGTGAGTAGGGGTGAGTCACGTCGAATAATTCACTGTTTGAATATTTGACCTTCGATCGAATATCAAAATACTCAGATGCACCAACCAGCAGATTGTTGACGAACAAACCATATACAAAATCAGTTGCAATAACACAATTGTACAATATAATCACTTAAATAGCTTTTCACGTCTAGGATTGTCTCCAGCCACAATTTAGCAAGATTTAAGAGACGAACAATGCTTCTTGCCGTGTTGAAAATTTCTATTCCATTTAAATTTTTTAATGAATAATTTACTTTATGGATCATTGTAAGAAATTTTATTCCATCGTTTTTCATTTGAATCTGCTTTAAACAAGCCTCCGTAGTGTGATTTTCTCATTTAAAACAAAAAGAAAATTCTCCCATTTCATGAATTTGCATTCAAATATTCAAATTGGAAAATTATGTTTGAATATTCAGTAATTGATTGAATATTGGGATATTCAGCACAGCCCTAGTTGTGAGCATCCTTGCATAGTTGCTGAGTTCAGGTCTTCATTTGTTGTGTAAATGGTTTATACTGAAGCATTGGACATAACGTGTATGCTTTTGATGTTGCTAGTCAAGAGCTGGTGGTTTGTTTGCCAGCTGCTGAGCTTCCTCACCTTTGTAAAATCAGAACATTGACATCAAAAACAAGTCCCCCTGGTTTTCTGTCTGATGCCCTACTGTACTGAGAAAGACTATCAGAGAGTCCATTGAGCCTTGAAGGAGAGGGCTGCCTCCTGGGGCAAGCAGCATCCAGTATTTCCTCCTGAATGTTGAGTCTTGACTGGTTGGCACTTCGAACTATTGTTCCCAACCTCCACATCCAAGTATTCATGTGTTTTCAGGATTTCTGTTTTTGATGTACGACGTTCCATTTCAGATTTGTTAAAACCGCTCATTGAAGAATCTGCACCCAAGTTTGTGGAGAAGTTGTTTGAAGCCATTGAACGGAGCCAGAGCAGTCGAGATGAGCATAGGGCAAAAAAGCGGTCCCTCAGAGTAAGTAAAGGTGCTTGGAATGCAAAACTGACAACTGTCCTTGGATCAGTGAGTTCTCTCATACACAATAGAAGGTATGCTTATACCTAATGACAGCATCCTTTTCGTGAGGATGCTCCATATGAGAGCACAGGTTTATGCCTGGTATGTCTTGTCATCATGCGTGCCAGGCGTAAGTCATCAGGCTGCCCCTTCTCACTCCTCTCACGGATACTTAAACACACCGTAGACATGAAAGGAGAAAAATTGAAGTAACAGTAATCTGAGAGGATCCCCACGTGTGTGGTTCTTTCATTTCAAACATTGTCGTGATATCTTGCGTTTCTGAAATTCCAATTTGAAAAAGTTGTTTTTCTACTGATTGGCTGTCGTGTCTTCATAAGTGTGCCTGTACTTGCCAATTACATTGAAACTGTTCCCGTTTTTACATCTCCCAAAATTAAAACAACTTTACCTACTTTTAATTGGAATTTGAACAACATAAAATTAACCCATCTCCCAGGGGTAGGTGTGAAATCATATTGAAATCGGAAGATTTACCCGTTCCGGTTAAAAAAAATTATCAGTCTAGAAACTACCCTGCAGTGAATTTGAGAAGATTAATGGAATTCAGGTTTTAGATTAATTCCAAAAACCAAAAGATCCCCAGCTGTTATTCCTCTACCCATTTTTTTATTTTCAATGACAACTAGCAGTTGAAGTTACAAACAAAAACTTTACCTTTTTGTCCAGTAAAGTAGAGAATTTTAGAGCTCTCTGGAAGGTTCTTGGCAAGAAAGCATTGAGAGTTGAGGGTTTTGAAGATTCTGTCTTGCAGTTTCACTTTGACTTATAATCTTGATATTCAAAATTCTTTCCTTGTAGGATGACGAGGGTATTGACATCAAAGCCAAGAAGTCTAAGTCAAGGTTCGACAGTGGCAATGTTGTTGATGGAGAGCCACCGGCTGCAGAGCAGTGGACTCCCCAGCAAATCAAGGAGATGATGGCCTCTGCAAGAATGCAAATTATGGCCAAGAGAGACCAACTGGTAAGCATCATAGAAACTTGAAGACCTACATGTAGTTCTGCAGCATTTCAGTGGATTCAGAACTGAAATGCCTGGCAGTAGTTACGTTATCACAGTGTCAAAACTTTGTCCAATCACAAAAAGTGTGCCCAGTGGCAATCTGCATTGTTTGTAACACTGGAGGATTCTTCCTAACAGAAATGGCCATCAAGTCTGAGCAAGAAGGATTTACCATTAGAGACTGCATGTTGCATTGGATTAAAGATTGTTCAGGAAGAATAGAAAGCTACTAAAATATGCAAGACCTGTGTTCTTAGAAGCAGATTTCAAGAAACTGTGGTCACTGAATGGTTTAGTCATAATGTGAATCTGTCTGAAGGAATTTTGAAGACTTCTTTTGATTGCTTCTCCCTACCAGCCAACCAAGCCTCAACCGCAAGCCCCACTCATCACACCTACCCCAACCCCCACCCCTCCTGCCGCCTCCCAGGTGCTCATGAACGAGGCTCTGGATAAGGCCCGACGGGCGGCTGAGATCCAGAGCCGAATCCAGGCTTCCATGGCCACAGCCGGTCTGGGACAGTTGGTCCTACAGCAGGCGCTAGCCGGGGTCAATATGAAGCAAGCTGAGCGAATGCAGGCTGGGGACAGACCACCTGCACCTGTGTCAAAGTAAGCAGCAATTTAATCAATTTGTTAAAAGTATACATGTCCAGCAGTACTGCTTCTCATGACACAAAGAAAGTAGTTACTGCCCTTGTTCATCCGGCTAGGAGATGCGTTTCAGCAGTTGACATCAGGGCATGGCTAGTTTCTGCCATCACTGGTACCCATTTTTAATCCTGGATGGAGAGGTACAAGTAGGGATACAGTGACTTGCACAAGGTCACAGCGTGCAACCGGTGGCTAGATTCAAATCCACAGTGACTTGCGCAAGGTCACAGCGTGCAACCGGTGGCTAGATTCAAATCCACAGTGACTTGCGCAAGGTCACAGCGTGCAACCGGTGGCTAGATTCAAATCCACAGTGACTTGCGCAAGGTCACAGCGTGCAACCGGTGGCTAGATTCAAATCCTCAACCCCATTTACATCAGGTCAGCATATCCTGATGCTTTGTAACCGTTTACTCCAATTAATGTGGTCACATTGGTGTAGGATTATCAACTGTCAGATTATAACTAACCAGCAGTTGATGCTGAGGTAAACTTGGGTGCTGTAATTGTTTTAACCAATGTACCCAATCAAGTTTTTTGTTGGATTATCGTTATCATATTACCATTTTTAGAACATCAAGAGCATCAATTAAGTGTTAAAAGCTTTAATTAATTAAAAATTAAGTTTTTGAATGTATCAAATATGAATGTTCTAAAGGATTCCTTGTTTTAATGAACGTGTAATTGATGCTGTCGATTTCCTCTTTGGAACAGACCCACACCTTTGATTCTGAACGAGAAGGGGGTGACAGTGGATGCTGCCGGCAAAGAAATTACACTGACGCATCGGGTGCCAACGTTAAAGGTAAGTCCATGAAGCCACTCATCAAAAGTGAATTGAAAGCTGTCTTGGGAGGTCGAGACTCAAAAGTAACATTGAGGAAAACCTTAACACTAGTTGCAACCTGATTCGGTGAGAACAATCTCAGGTCGTTTCAAGCGTTCATGTCAGAGGACTGGTTCTGACATTACAGGAATTCCAGTGAGTAACGTGACACAGTGGTGTGATATTTCGTTCGGCAGGATGTGTTTCTATGAGAGTGCTGTTCACACTTTGTTATCAGGAACACTAGCCGATCATGTCTTTCTACAGAGGAGAAATATTGAACAAGTGACTTTCCATCAAAGAAAAACGCCCTCACAAAATGTACTTGTCCACTCTTTCTTACAGCCTGTTAAAAAAACTATTGAAAAAATGTATTGTTTTCATGGAAACTGAAAGGCAAGTGATGCCTTAAGATTTGTCATAACAAAGATTGGTGTTTTGGGGGGGCACACCAGGCCAACATCCGAGCCAAGAGGAGAGAGGAGTTTAAATTGAACCAGGCAGAGAAGCCTCAGGATGCCGTCAGCGAGACATCACGATTCTTTGACAACAGTATCTCCCAGGCCCCAGCTCAGCGTAGTCGACGAGGATTCAAGTTCCATGACAAGGGACGCTTTGAGCAGTTAGCCCAGAGGATCAGAGCGAAGGTAAAGCAAAGATAAGACGAGGTCTGTTGTCTAGCAATAGTCATTCCAGCCTGGTGCAGTCAGCAGGCTGCGCACTTTTATGCTGACGTGTTTTTCCTTGGGTCTCGGCAAGGAAGCAACAGAAACAGTGGTAGGTTGGATTAATAGGTTTCTGTTACCAAGAATGAGTTTGCCAAAGTCTCCATATTGGACGTTGCCTTGAAGGAGAGCATTTTAAAAAGCTCAAAACTTCAAGATTCAATTTATTAAACTTGTTTTTTTTGGAGGTACGCTTTATGAGTTTACCGTTTGTTATTAACAGTCCCAGCTGGAAAAACTGCAGAGTGAGATTGCGCAAGCAGCTAAGAAAACCGGGATCTCATCAGCAACAAAACTGGCTCTGATTACACCCAAGAAAGAACTGGTGAGTTGGTTGGCACATCAATGCTTGCTGGAAATTAATCTTAATTAGGTTAGGCTTGCAGTTGCACCATGTACAAGGAAGAATCTCTTTTAAGAGTGTGTGGTTCTGAGAGGAACCGACGGTGAATACTCAATGTTCCGAACAGTATGCTCAGTTCGTCCTCAGGAGGGAAATTAACCATTCTTATGACATGTCCTGTTATTTGTAACATGCTAGCACAGACCTAAAAGGTCCGTAGGGCAATCAAACATCTTTTCTTGTAAATACTTGTCAGATTCTGAGATTTGAAAATAAGTGACTAATAAACCAATCAACAGAACTGGGTTATAATTTCTTTCGGCATTTCGGGTGTTTTGAATTCTTTATGTAGTATTGTAACAACTTTGGGCAGTGACTATTGGCAGTTTGCACTGCTGGAATTTTTGTTTTGCACAGTGAAATCAAATATTTTTGTGATCTTTGTGCAGTTTTGCATTTCTTAATCAAGTATGTCACTGACTTCTCTTGTCTCCCATTGACAAATCACAGAAGGAAGGTGAGATACCAGACACGGAGTGGTGGGATACCTTCATTCTCCCACGCGATTCTTACCGAGATTGCAGACAGCAGGTAGCAGGGAGCAGCAAAGGAGCGTCAGAGAAGTACGTGGGCATCACCAACCTGGTGGAACATCCTATCCAGATGAACCCACCTGGTAAGTCAAGGGGGATATCCCTCTTTGGAATTGCTTCTGCTGTCTTTCTGTTCGACCTTTTCAGGACGTGTTTCTTGGTCAGTTATCTTCAAAAGTGCTGTCAATAGATTTCTAAGATAGAATGGAATGGATCCTGTTGCCTTACCAAGGATGGCTCTTCTTGGGTCGTTGGAACAAGCTGCTTTACCTCAGTTGCCACTTTGCTCAAGTACAGATACAAAAATAGTAAAATAATCTAGTTGGCTTATGTAAAAACTGCTACATGATAGTGACATGTAAGGTGAGCTAGATATGGAAGCTTGTTAGGAAAAGTCTAGCACGAAGCGTGGTTTTTGAATAAAAGGATGTACTATGTGTCGATACCTGACCTTCATCAAATCTCCATCCCTACTCACTCCACCCCTCCCACCCCACCCACCATTTCTCTACAGCTGAGATCACCAAGACGGTCAATATGCCCATCTATCTGACCAAGAAGGAGCGAAAGAAGCTGAGGAGGCAGACCAGACGGGAGATCCAGAAGGAGCTACAGGAGAAAGTACGTCTAGGCTTGGAACCCCCGCCGGAGCCCAAAGGTAGGACTCAAAGAGTAGAGGGATGAGGGAAGAAATTGTGGGGGCTCTAACCTTAGCCCCATCAGGTAAATGCCATCGTAGCTGGGATAAAATGTGGTGCAAACCTGTTTCATTCAGTCACGTGTCGGTACAGATTCTTCGGTTAGGATTAGGGAATACCCCAAGAGCTGGAACATTCCTGTGAGATCTTTTGGAAGTTTACAGTGTTCCTAATGAGAGGAGGTTGTTTCCTAGTAAAGCTTGCAAAGGCACTGACCAGTGTTCCCATTTGGTTAAAAAGCAGGGTTCTCAGTTGGAAGAGTGGCTGACTTCAAATGGAATAAGCAATGTGTATGGTTTGAAAGTTCTCTAGGTTCCAACTTTTGAGAAGCTTGCTTAGAAATTTATAGTTAAATCCTCATCAAAGCGGACCACTAATTCAGGGAATTGGTATTCGCTTTTGCACTTTTGAGGAAGATAAAAGAAGTGCATTCCTCTCCACATTTCTGGCTATCCTGGAGATTGTGCCCATAGAGCTAGGAAAATGGGAAGTTCTTCACTGGACAGAGGATACTTATGTATCAGTTTCAAACTGTGTGGTTTGTTGCTATAGTGAGAATGGCCAACCTGATGCGTGTCCTTGGCAACGAAGCCGTACAGGATCCAACCAAGGTAGAGGCTCATGTCAGAGCACAGATGGCCAAAAGACAAAGGTAAGAAAACATTTTGGGAGGAAGGGGTTATTACAATAAGGCTTTTATTTTATTATTTCTTTATTTTTTTTGTCAGCTTAGTATGCGCTAAATGAAATCTTATTTGATTAAATTTCTCTGCATAGATGTATCAACACGGATACACTCACAGGTTGTACCCGTTGCGGTAGACACATTGTGTCTCCTGTTGATTCAAATGATGAATTTTTGGCAAGTTATCTTGTACAGCGACAATAGGAGACACAGCAATGTTGCTTGACCATTGCTGGCATCCACCATGATGAGGGTGCTTTCATGTCATGCTGTGATTGGTGTATTGGATTTAGAGTTTAAATACCATGTGAAATGGTGAGAGTTACAATGCTGAAGTGTAGCCCAAGCGATGCTTTTCATCCTAAATATCTTATCCCAAAATAAATTCCCTAGTGTGCAGGAAACTAAGAGTTTTATGTGAATATAGTAAGTCTTCATTAATCCTTTGACTTCAAAACTGTAGTATTGATTGCCATTCATAAATACCGTAGACAGTCTGCCCATTTAACAATGTGCAACTTGACTGTGTATTAACATGTGATAATGCCCACTGACAAGGGAGATGCGTTAAATCATGCGCTGGCTCCTGGATACGAGATGCTAGCCCATTCCTATTGGTCAAGTCTGTATGCTGCGCGTCATGCAGAACTCGCCACGTGCACGCCAAGTCCATCTAAGGAGATTCTTCTGGACTTCTTGCACAAGGAATATTCCATCAAATTGAAAGGGGTGTTCAGGATAATGAAAGTAAAATTCTTGAACAAAATGCTTTGAAATTTATTGTATATTGATTTCTTTTAACTCTGACGAAAATGGTGTTCATGAATGTGGCTGGGACATTAATCCCATCCATTCTCCTGGTCTCTTGCTGGTCTTAACCCCTTCACGACAGGATTATTTTGACCGTGACTGCTGGGCTGTGGTGTGCCCTGAATGGAGGGCTTTGTCCAGCAGCAGGCCCCATTGAACCAGCAGCTGCATGATGAATAGACTGTATGTGTGGTATGCACTCATCCTCACACAAAGGTGCTGTAGTAGCAGTCATCCGTCGTGAAGGGGTTAAATGCACGTTTAAGACTGGCCCAAAACACATTGATTCCCTTGTTTGTAACCGGTGAAACTCCTACCCCCTCCAACAATTGCGCCCTATAGAACTCACGAGGAAGCCAACGCAGCTCGTAAGCTGACCGCAGACCAGCGTAAAGAGAAGAAGGTCCGTAAGCTGAAAGAGGACACGTCGTCAGGGATCCATGTTTCAGTCTATTGCATCCGAGACCTCAGTAACCCTGCCAAGCGCTTCAAGATTGAGGCCAACGCCAACCAGCTTCATATGACTGGCATGGCCATATCGCACAAGGATGTTAATGTGGTGGTCGTCGAAGGAGGTTGGACTAGATACATAAAAAAAGTTGAAATGTCTTTTTGTTTGAATTGATGACTACTGTATCAGTGATTCGTTTATATTCACAGTCAACAATGCATTAGAAATACGTTACCAGGGGTACCATAGAATGCAAAATACTTTTGATATCTAAAATCGAATTTCCAATCTACCCATTTGAAAAAAAGTTATTAAACCGCCTGTTATGAGCACAGAAAGAAGTGTTCGTTTTTTACTGAAATCGGGTTCCAAATTAGCTATCATTATTGCTTGTGACATGCTTTCTGCATCATGCTTGGACCCAGCAATCTGTGATTTGTGGCAGATCCATGAAAGCAGGCCTCATCAATTGTGGGAGTCGGTAATAACGTCAGCAAGGCTCCCTTTTCTGTCTTTTTTTTTACCAGGTCCAAAGCAACAGAGGAAGTTTGAACGTTTGATGATGCATCGGATCAAGTGGGGAGAGGATAAGAAGAGAGGAGATAATGGTAAGAAAGTCTTTTATGAGCCACCTTAGATAGCTTGGAATGTGTCTTCCAGGATGAAACAGTATTTACCATGGCAACGAAATTTCTGTATGTGGAACGTTTCCATTTAAATCAAATGGAGTGATTTTTTGGTTCCTCATTAACCACTTGCTGCCAGGGATTCCAGATCCGGACATGATGCTTTACATGTATGTGTGTGGCCGGGGTCTCCGAACTCGGACAAAGGGAACAGGGCCTTGTAACAAAAGACCGTACTCTGAACAAAAGACCAGGCTGCTGGGCATTACAGACATTTTTTCACTCTCAAAAGTGGAGATAATCCAGCCTTGGTTTGAAACCGTATATCAGGGTTTGGGGTATTGAGAGCAAGCGGATTACCACCGGGGACAAAAGTGCTCCACCACCGCAACGATGAGCCACACAGCGCCGCTGCATGCTAATCTGGCCACTATTGAAAAGAGGTCAGCAGCGAACTGAGCCAGGTTCGTGAACAAAAGAAAGTTATATAACACTGCACAATCTGGGCTCTTTTTACAAGGCTGCAGGCCTGGCTGATATACTCAGGCGTCAATAAATTTTGTCTGTCAGGCTAGATGGGCCACCAGACATGCCTTCACGTGTTTGTAAGTGTCCAGTAAATGAAGATCGGAATTTTTAAAGAATTTTGAAAAAAAAAAAAATAAATATCCCGGCCCAGGGACATCAATATTGATAACTGCCCCGGCAGGAAGTGGTTAAGAAACAGATATTGTCATTCAAAAATGTTTGTTTTTTCCACATTCCCTCATCCCTGAGAGTCAATAGAAACTTAAAGCCTTGCCTTAAATGTGTGAATAGATCCCACAAGGTGAATCTTGAGGCCATTGTTTTCTCTGTGAGTTTTAGTCTCCATTTCAAGGAGCCAATTTGGCTCCCTAGCATGATGACAAAAACTCAATAGTATGTGAGTTCCAACTGATTTACATTCTGTAAAATTCTCCAATAGGCTCAACGATAGGCTCTGGAAGCTGTCTTTGCTGGGGTGGGTCAGTTACTTAAAATTTGTTTCCACAGACTCGGATGACTCCGACAACGAATCTGAGTCGAAGGTCAACAAGTGCAGCCAGGTGTGGCAAGGGATGGTCCAGCAGCGCTGCTTCAGCGAGCTGAAATTCAAGCAGTGTCCGACTGAGTCGATGGCCAGGGAGCAGTTTCGCAAGCACGGCGTGGAACACTACTGGGCCTTGGCCCATGGAAAGCGGATCTTGGAGGCGACAGCCAATGCGTAAATCTGGAGAAATAGAATCCTCCTCTCTGATCCTAGTTGAACCCCCCGGCCAGAAAAATGTGCGGTCAAGTTGGATTGCTTCTCGTATTTATTTAAACCATATAGGATCACATCTGTTGAAATGAGTCCATAAGACGATCTTCAGTGAGTTACCAGATTTTAAAAGTTGACGCTGCCTAGGTAAAACTCTTGTACAAGTTGTTTCATGGCTTCTATGCAACTGTGCCTTAAGAAATGGAGATGCACGTTGTTATCACCGTTTCGTGCACCAAGATTGTGCACATTCCGTTTAAAATCATTTGCATATTGCAGAAAATATTTCCTTTGCCAAAACAAGGGAGGGGGACTTACCAGCCAAAGAAGTCATTGCATGTATAGAGCTTGTGACTGGTACCCAGCTAAGTTTTGCTTAGCATGTACATTTTCAAGCCAAAGTCTCAGCAACTCTGAGACTCCATAGCTTGATGAGTTTTTGTACGGATGTTGATAGATAGTTTATACATCCTCCAAGGTGATTTGCACTTTAAGTGCAAGGCGTGAGGAACATATTTGTGCTGCTCTGGTTCTTTGTCATGAAGGAGTACGCTTTAGTCTTTGGAATTCCCAGCTAAGAGTATTATAGAGGCATGGCTCCCTATTAAAAGAGTTTTAGCAACTGTTGACTCATTTCACCAGGTGTGGTTTTATATTTGTGTTGTTGAAGTGTACTGATTTACTGTTGTCTCAAAACTCTTATTTTTTATATTGTGCATTTTACCTCCACAAATGTGGCATACATCCAGACTTTAACAATACGCTGCCGGGGAACCCGGTTTCGGGTACCTTGGGTTTGTATGCATAGCTGGGGTGCCCGAAATCAGACAAAAGAGCTGGTCCGTGTAACAAAAGACTGTACTCCGAACAAAAGACCCACTGCTGGGAATTGCCATCATTTTTCAGCTTGCATTTATCGGAGGTAATCCGTCATTGTTTTGAAACAGTATACCACTGTTTTCGGCATAGTGCGCCCACGGATTAGCACCACGGACAAAAGTGCGACACAGTAGCGCTGCACACTAATCCAACCGCGTTTGAAAAGACACCACTGGCATTCATTGGGAACAAAAGGAAATTACGTAACACCTCACAATTCTGGGCTCTCTTTACAGAGCGGCAGTCCTGGCTGAAATACTCGGGCATCAATGGAGGTTGCCTGTCAGCTTAGAGTAGCCACCAAACAGTCATTTGTGTGGGTGTAAACGTCCATTAAATGAAATAATGAATTTTTGAAGAATTTTGAAAACGGAAAATCTGAAATGAAAATCGCCCGTACGTAGGCACTGCATTTTTAAAAGCACCCAGCAGCATATGGTTAATGAGCTGTCATGTAGAACCTTGAAGAAATGAAGATAGAATAAGGAATGCAGATAAGTTGATTATTTACACCTTTATGTATTTGCTTCTTTTTTAAAGTCTTTATTGTATTAATTCTGTATTTTATAGTTTGATTTTGGCCGCATTGTGAGACAACTGTTAGGGCAGATGTCAGGGCTGAAACTTTTCCATTGGCATAAACTGTAGGACCCTTGATGTGAAAAGTTGAAGGTATTGTCTGTAACGAACCTTTTGAGACAGAATTTGTGTTTCAAATTAGTCAAAGCCTTCCATGTCTACTGATTTCATTTCAACCAAAAATCATTAAAAGACAAAGTGCTTGAATCTTGGACTGAAATTAATCAGTGGCTCGCTTCTTGAATCAAGCATGATCCTTTTCCCCCAGCAATCCCACAAGAGCACGGTATGCTTTGAGCCTTTTTATGTCTGTGTGGTTCTTTCTAGACACATCTTGATCCAGAACCTCCGTAGTTCTGTTACGGTGCATTCCCAACTTGGACACAACTGTAGAGCAGCACTTTGCCATGCAGCACTTCATGGTAAGCAGCGACAAGCAATTTTAGTTGAAGGTGAGAAGAGTACATTTATTGCTGTAAAAGCGGGGAGTGTTTCAATCCTTACAAATTTCACTTCAGGCCCCCCAAAAACTCCACTTAAAAACAAACGTAGCCACATGTATGTGTGTGATATAATCTTGAATGTCAAAAAGTCAGATCTTAAAATGTCAGAAAAAAGATTTTAGAACATTTCAACCTTTCACTTTCCAGAATAGTCCTATGTTGAGACTTTCCTGATAAAATTTGATTCTCTAGCAAGCCATGCCTCTTTTGGTAGAGGTTTGTTGCAAACTCAATGTCTAATTCACATCTTCATTTCATTGCTAAATGTCTTCATGAAACAAAAATGCAGTGCTACAGATGTGGTGAAATGATTAAAATATGGACAAGATAATACTTCCGAACGTGGCAATGACTGTAGCCAGTCGTGTTTTTCTCATATCAAATCCAAAGCAAATGCTCATTAGATATTTATTTCATTAAATTGTATTTCTGAAGGCCATATTTGCGGCATATTTGCGGCATTGATGCAATGGGACTGAATTTGAGCAGTTTAAGATCTAGGGGTGGATCCAGAAGTTCGATTTTTTTGGGTGAGAGCCCCAAATTTAGAATTTATTAGGTAACTTTTAATGTCCTTTCTGAGGGGCGAGGTTACATTCTGGACTTTTTCACACTTTCGAAACACCCCCAAAAATCGCCACTCTCCCTATTTTTGGTGGGCCTCTTCTTTGGGGTCTAAGATCATGACACCTATGTTCAGGGGGTGTGAGAATTCAGTTTTTTATCTGATTTCAGCTTTTTTTGTTTAGATGTTGACCCTGCTTTTCATCTTTTATTTTACACCTGGTCTGTACAAAAGTATGGGAACTGTTAACATTTCAGATATTTGCTAGCTGTTTTCAGCCTTAATTTTAAGTGTCCACTTCCACCCTTGTATGTTTTCTTGATTAATGGCCTCTTATCTACACTGTGTAGGCTGTCGTGTCAAAGACAGAAAAAATTAAGCGCCATAAACTAAGAGCAAGCAAGCAAAGCAGAAACAATGTCAAGAAGTGTGAAAAACACAGCAAGTAAAATTTGCAGGTTTTCTGCATTATGATACAACTCTTTGTTTTGGTCTCGTTTTTGTATGGAACTTGAAGATACTCCTATTCATCCTCACCAAATGTCCTGTTGTTAACAGAAAGATCCCCAGTGGTCTAAACTCCTCAAACCCCCACATCAAGTTGCCTTGCTTGGCTTAGTTTGCGGTACTACTCTCACCAGTTCCTACCAAAACTAGACACGGGTTTCTGTTGTTACTTTGCTACCTGTATATAGATGGATCGTGGTGGTGATGGTACCCCGGTATAGTAAGAATATAATGTGAGGAAGGGCACCATCGCACTTGACTCGCTACTAAAACCAGGTATTTGTATGCAAGTACTGTACATTAGTGGTTGGTTTCATTTTGGGGTAATTGTGTATTTTGCAGTGTTGCATTCAATTCTATTGCAAGTCCATGTAAGTCCATCACAAGTCATTCAGTCTTGAGCCAATTCACAAGCTATTCAACTAAGCTGTGACAAAACAAAAGTTTTTGTTTGTCATTGATCACCGTTATACTTGTGACTGGCCTTATGCAGAGACTTCTGACTGGACTTGTGCGAGGACTCGTAAAAGGACTTGTGATGGGCTCGAATACAAATGTACAGCACTGGTGTTTTGTCTTCTTCATGTTGTATTGTACATTGAATGAAAAACTGGGTTTTAGTTTATCCTTACCATCAAGCTTGGAGTGATCTACGTGTATCAAGAGAATATGATTTTATTTCAAACATTTTAAATGAAATTCTGTGGATGAAATTTCAGCTTAAGTTATTTCTAAGTCCTTGTAACTGTATAACGCCCAAGCACCCTTGTGAAATTCATAGAAGTGCCTATACGTCACTACTAAAGTTTAGGGAGACACTTCTGTAGACTGAATCTACCACTTCTCAAAAGCCGCTGAATTCATTCTCCTTGTAACTTGAATTGTCCATTGTGTGTCATGTATACTCGCCCGTTTCAATACTCCCCAGTTCAAGTTATGACTCGGTGTAGAATTTTGTGAGGTTAACTGTGGTGATAAAATCCTGGAAGTGTTTAGAGCCGGCAAAGATTAAATAGTTTCATTATTTGCTCTGTTTTTATTCAAGTTCTGCAATGGCATTACTGCCAGCAGGTGGCAACTTAACAAAATCTGGTTTCAAATACCATCAGACAGTTAACTGTCAAACAGTCCCTAATGTTGCAAACCCAAGTTCACGAGATAAAACAGTACAGTTAGCATTTGATCTACAGTCCCTGGTTTTTGAGAAATAAAGACTGTATAACTAAAAAAGAGCACAAATCTTTGCAGTGTTTGTTACTTTATTCTGACTGGTCTGTGGGGTGGCCGCCCAATTTCTAATGGCATGTATGAAATCAGATAACCAGAATTATCATATCTAGAGTTGATGGGGGTTGTAAATCCAATGCAAAAGGTTGCTTTTGAAGACAGGCATGCAACTTGGACTTTGACCAAAAATAAGGAAATTCTTACGTTTACAAGACTTTGTACAGTATTTTTCAACTTTCAATAGCGTGACTGTGCAGTGAAAAACAAGGAAATCAGCTGATCCAAGGAAAACTTGCATGCCCTGTTAAATAGGTTCATACTGAACACCGACTCTAAAAGTGACACATTTTCCACAATGTCAACCTAGTTAGAATTGATTTGATGTTTACTACCATCTCTTCCCTATATTACTTGACACCAGCTATATAAAGTACCCACAACAGCAGTTATGCCAAGTGGAGAAAACAGTGTGATGTTTGACAATCATCCCCTGAAGTGAAATGACTGACACATCCCATATTTTGGTATGGGGGATGCAGCGAGAAAGACGAAACTCCAAAACTAGAAGCACTTTCAGTCGCAGTTTTTCTAGCGGAGGTACAGCCTATTGCACCTGAAGCCAGGGCCCGATGTCATGGCACTGCTCAACAGTTAGCAGAGAAGTTGTGCTGACTATAGTAGAAAGTTTGCTAACTGTAAGCACGATTTCATGACGGTGCTTGTCATGGTTGTGCTTATGAGTGCGTGCGCACAGAGATTTCCATTGTTTTGTCACGATACGTTAAGCAAATTTTTCCTACAAGGATAGCATGCCTTTTACCATGCTTACCACTTACAGTCTCCACGAAATATACAGAGCCCCTGTCAGCATAAAATTGTGTGCTTAGCAGCGCTGTGAAATTGGGCCTAGGAGTGTTCATCCTATATTTAGATATATACTGTGCAGGTGTTCTTAACAGGGCTTGGAGCAGGCAAGGTTTAAAAACATTCATACAAAAAAATTGATGATGGCAAACATACACAGGTATCATCTGATGCCGTTGTTGAGATATTGTACAAACATGCCATGCAGCTTGGCTACATCCTCCACTGGATGAAGCTTGGTGTAAGTGATGAACTGACGACGGATACGCTGTAGCTCGGCAGCGCTCACACTCCTTGTCAGGTTGATGTGAGAAAACACAGTCAAGGGCTAATCGTCCAAGACACGGTTCAACATCTCAACATTCGGTGTCAAGACGCCTGTAGCGAGTGCCTCTGACAAGGTAGCAACGTGGAGAGACTGAATGATGTTTGGTATTGCCAGAGGGGATATACAGTCAGTTGCAAAAGTTTAAGACCACTTGGAATTTTATTTGTATTTCTGTCACTGGGCCTGCAGTCCATTGTCTCATTGAATGATTAACATATTTTTACAGTGGTGTATCACATCAGTGTAGTGCTATATACCCATTTGAACAAATTTTTTGCAAAGGCAGGTATGACATATTGTCTGCAAGGCAGCATGGACAAGAAAGCCAGGCTAAGTAATCAGAAATAAAGGAGTGCACACTAAATAATAGGCTGTCAACATTTCAAATCATGGACATGTAGTCACATTGCTGTTTAACCAAGATTCTAAGGTTACACATTGAAAATAAACATGAGTTGCCATGATTGACTGGTTTGTTTTTTTTCTTCAGGTTAATGCATTTTGTATGGGTGGTCCTAGCTTTTACAAATGACTATTCTTCAGGGTTATTCTGACTGTCGTGCAGATGCTACCATGTTGATATCAAACATTTTTGGCCCTTTTGTGAGATTGTCAAGCAAGATAATTAGTTGGGAAAAGATAAGTCTGTCAACAAGACAAACAGCAGTTTATCTAACAGCGACTGTTCCATGGCAACAGTGCACTAGGTGCAATAATGTCCCACGTCTATCATTCTGCTTGACATCAAAGTGCAAGGAGCATCAATGAGAAATCACTTCAATTTTGTCGCATTCAGGAAAACTCAGAAAAAGCGTGCCGTAGGAATAGCGGTTATCGGCAGGGTTTGGATGAAAAGGATATTTTATCTTGTGACCCAGGAATACTGACGATGTCACCAGGAAGGCTTGTCTTCTGAGCTGCAATAAGTGTCTATAATTGGAAAAGAAATTGAGTTGGTTCTTTTGCAATACATTTATTTTACTATAAATTAGAGCCTTGATAGTTCTAAACACGCGTTCTGATTAGTTTGGATAACAACATCCTCCAATAATAGCCTCATTGTAAATCCCTCGTACATGTATGTGCTTTGAATGGACACTCACTGTGACAATTTCCTGAGTTATCTTGTCCAACTCATGGAGGAAATTGGTCGCAGATAGGGGTTGCTGTACAAAAGAAAAGAACAAATGTTATACAGTCTATCTACATAAAAACCAGATGTGCTCTCCATTTTATCTGTAAAAGAGAGTGAGAGAGAGAGCAGTTCATTAACTGATTTTGCTTTCATTGATATTGATGAAGACATAGGCGGGTTCAAAGTTTTACTCATGAAAATGGCACATCACACTGGTGTGAAAGCTCATCAACCCTGCCACACCCTTCACCACACCCACTCTTTCACTGACATTAAAACAGACAGGTTAGGAGACAGGGCCTGCCAAAGATGGCACATCACACTGGTGTGAAAGCTCATCAACCCTGCCACACCCTTCACCACACCCACTCTTTCACTGATATTAAAACAGACAGGTTAGGAGACAGGGCCTGCCAAAGATGGCGCATCACACTGATGCGAGAGCTCATCAACTGTACCCTGCCCTATGGCCACACCCACTCTTTCACTGATACTGAGACGAACAGGTTAGGAGACAGGGCCTTCCAAAGATGGCACATCACACTGGTGTGAGAGCTCATCAACCCTGCCCTGCCTGATGGCCACACCCTTCACCACACCCACTCTTTCATTGATACTAAGATGGACAGATTAGGAGATGGGGCCTGCCAAAGATGGCACATCAATCTGGTGTGAGAGCTCATCAACCCTGCCCAATGGCCACACCCTTCACCACATCCACTTTTTCACGGATACTGACCGAGACGGTGGACAAGCTGGGAGGTGGGGCTTTCCTACTGAATATGGCATCGCATATCGCCTGACATGGAAGTTCATCCTCCGCATGCACCGTGAAGAGCGGGGAGTCCCAACGATTTTTTGCATCAGGTGGTTCAAACCGCATCACCAAGGCATCAAATCTATTGCACCAAGACATCAAGAGAATACATCTAATACACAGTGTGCATATCCTTAGCTTGACGGTCTGGTCCCCCAGCATGAAGAGTGTAATGTGGCAAGTAGCGGAGATGCTCCAAATGCAGGTGAAACCAATATAAATGGTAAGTGGTAAGAGCATGTTTCTCATCTGGGTGAAAATTTCTGTCCTTCAGAGCTAATAAGCGATTGAAAGCATAAGAATATAGAAAAAAGGCACCTTTATTTAAAAAAGGGGTGTGCTTCATTAACAGATCTGCTACTACAGCAGAAAAAGTACTTTGACAAACTTTATGTACTAGAACAAAGCCCTGAAACAGCTTCATTTGTATACAAGTCTAAACAATCCTGACATGTCTGAACATTCCTCTTCTAGAAATGACTCCCCCGACACCTATTGTACAATGTACATGTACACAAAGAGATATAACACTTTACAACCTTTCAATTTACTATTACATATTTTGCATTTCCATAGGGTAGTAGAATGACCTTGTGACTGTAAGATTTATTCTTACAGGCACACACCATTGTTATGCATGTTTCCCACCAGCGCCAGGTCTCAGGAGGCTGGAGTGTGGCGCCATGCAGCGCCGTGCGGTGCATTGAAGCGATTGCGGCACGCCGATAAGAATATTGTGGACGCCTTCCCTTAACTAAAATACAAATGCACAACCCAAAACAAACCCATAAGAACCCCCCCAAAAAATCCTAAAACTCGTGCCTTTAAAACAAAATTGCTGGAGGAAATAAATTTCTACTGATCTTACATTTCTTGTGAGTATCTTTCTTCCGGTCGTCTGTTTGTGTTCCACTCTGAAGCTACGTTTGCAGTAGTATCGCAATAAATCTGACAGATTGTAATCAAAATCAGCAAAGTCAAATGCATAACATAGTCATCATACCCTGACTCTGCTCCAAAACAACTGAGTAAATTCTTAGAACTGTTTTCAAAACTGGCTCTCAAGTGTGTCTGAAAATCTGCTTTTTAATCAACCAATCAAGGCTGATCAGTTTGCAAATTTCCACAGAGCATATTATCTTGATTTTCGTTTCTTGTAATTTCCTCAAAATCCCTTATTTACACAGAGTTGAGGTAGTGCTTTCAGCAACCGTTCTACCCAACTGAAAAGATGATACTAGCAGGTGTTGTTGGCAACAGGTGAAGTTGCAAAACTTACTGCTGGATGAACTAAACTTACCACACAGTGAGGTGTTTGAGATGACTTGACGGCACAGTACAGCTCATATCTAAAACCTGACAGCGAAAAAAAATAAGTCCGACTGACTGTAACAGGTGTTTCAGCAAGATACAGTTGTCCGTTTATGAGGCCATAGGAATGTACATGTGCATGTTCGTTATGCAGAAACTATCAGTACATGTAGGTTCTGACAAGTGTAAATGGAACAGAATGAATGGTTGGGTGGGGAGAGGCTAGGGGTCAATGACCCATTATAGCAAGGCATGGGGAATTTTGAATAAATGAAAGTTTATTAGGGTAATACCATCTCACCTTTGATGTAGTTTAAGGAGTCCAGGATAAGTACACTATCTTTGGAGAGTTTTCTGTGGAAAGGAACAGAGTTTCAAACCCAAAAACTACAAATTTGAAGTCTTCAACCTTGATAACCACCAAGAAGTAATAGTAACCAATTATCTCCAAACACAGCCCACAGAAATGTATGGCTGCAGTTAGATTAAGGTGATATGATGCAAACTAGTACTTGCAATGTTGAAGAACTGTATCAGACATTTAACTTACTATAACTCTTGTATTCCAATATCTACGGTAGGGGTGAGTCCAAGAACAGATCAAGGGCGTTGGGTTAACACTGGCCATGCCCCTCCCCCAAAAAAGAAAGAGATCTTGCATTTGAAAAGCGATGATCTATTTCATTTCCCTCCCCAAAGCAAAGAGTCACAAATTGTAGCCCCAGCCCTCAGAAAGGCCATGAAAGATCACATGAAGAAAATCTCAATTTCTGCCCCTTCACTCTCTCCCCCCCAAAAAAATTTGGTTGTGGCTCCCCCTTGGTGGAGCCAACAACTTTTAACAGACGGTCAGGATCTGGACCATAGTGTAGCAAGTGGGCTTGCTGAGGGGCAGATTGGGTGAACAAAAAGAAAAAAAAAAAGAGCAATGGAGTGGGTCCCCGCCCCATTGCTATCCCGATTCCATTCTTACCTAATCACTGCTGACTTAAGTGTCCCGCGAATCTCCTTCTCCTTTTTGGAATCTGAAAGAGAACAGCCGCAACATCGTCCAGCCACAACATGTACTTATTTTTTGAAGAAGGGATGCAAACATGCACTTTGCAAGGGACCGGAGGAGGGTGGATGGGACCAGGCAACATACATGTACGTGTACCAGTGTAATATACATGTACAGGTATGTACGTGTACCAGTGTAATATACATGTACAGGTATGTACGTGTACCAGTGTAATATACATGTACAGGTATGTACGTGTACCAGTGTAATATACATGTACAGGTATGATCTTGAACTCTGACAAAACTAGAGGCAATTCCAATCTTGAAATAGTGCAGACAAAATTGAGGAAATCAGCTAATCCAAGGAAAAGTTACATGCCTGAATATAGCTTGTGGGTGGGTGGGTGGGTGGCTGGCTGGGTGTTTGGTTGTGTGTGTGGGTGGGTGGGAGAGGGGGTCTATCACGGATGCCTTCAAAGGCACGGCATAATTGTGGAGTTGAGCAGGCAAAGTGTGAACTGTGACACAACCCCCCCAAAAAGAGAATAACTGTACATACACAAAGGCGGCACTTTATGAAAAAAAAAATGCCCCTTTAGGCCTGTGTACACACGTCACCCTCCCTTGCATGAAGGCAATATTAATTAACAAAAGGACAGAAAAATTAGTTTGGAGAACAGACATCCTTGTCAACTGTACATACATGTACACTGTGACATTGAAAGATAATAAAACAGGTGTATGTACATTACTGAACAAAAGAAATGGTGGTTGAAATGACTACTGGAATTCACTTATCAGGAATCCTTTTCTGAAACCTTTATTTTTCTGAGGGTTTGGGGTGGGGTTGGATGAGAACCTTACTAGTGACAAATTCCTGGTGAAAGCAGCATCAATGCCAGACTCAATTTGTTGTTAGCATGGGAGGATGTTCCTCAGATGGGAACTGGTATTACTATACTTTTTTCTGGGAGTTAAGTTGCAATTCAGTGAATTCACGACCCTAAATTCCTGAAACTTGAATGTTTTTTGTGACAACTTCTTTCTTGGAAGCAGGAAGTCTGGCTAGGCAATCAAAAATAATACAAGTAAACTGAAAACATGGAATGACCCAAATGGCCACACATCACTTTCCAACTCCAATTCAATCCCAAATCCTGCCCAAATTCTCGAAAATGCTGGCCAGAAAATACAGACGAATTTCCGAATTTCGTCAAAGCAGAAACCACAAATACACTAATTTTAAGATACATGACAAAACCTGATGGCCGTGTCAGTTTCTGCATATTTCCAGATTTTGTCTTTAATAAAAAACAAAGTTTCAAAAATCAACAAGAGGAAGAAATTCCTGTGGTGTGTGAAGAAACACATAACTAAAGGATCCAGTAGCCAGTCTTTTTAAATTGCTGGCAAGCATGAATGCATGCATTTAATGAAAGAGCAAATACCAACAAGAAACTAATCACTACAAGGTCAATTTTCTTAAGGTTTAACGTACAGATGGTTGAAAATGCACAGCATGATGTATGTATGTACATTAAATGTCTACAACACATGTGCGAGACTGTGCTTACGTACATGTTGGCCAAGTTCATAACATGGTCTAAATATGGCTGCATCTACAATTACAAAGCGCTTACACTACACCTGCAAAGAGGAATAGTATTTGTTTTATGATATATGGCTGGTGCTTTTCTTTGCATTGTCTTATCTTACAGAAAGCAGTCCAAATGAAGTTTTGTCCCTTCACAGGTTCTGACAACAGATTACAAAATTCTTAGGATTTTTGAAAACCAAAACAAACTACTGCCATAGATTACAAACTAAACCCTACTTTTTTGGATCTTTACACTAATTTACTAATTCAGGAAAACAATTCATCCTGCACATGCTGCTGTTTTATAATCAACAATATCAACACAACATGGCACACACCGTACATGAAGGTGGGGCTTTCTTCTTTAATTAAGAGGTCCAAGGTGTGGCACAAAGGCCAAAATATAAAACCTTTTCCTGCCCTCTAGTGAGCTTATTTTTTGTGTTCAAGAACATGTGAAGTTGAGGTTTGAGTAGGTACACATTTATACCGGTACATATACATGTACGGCTTTCCGTCACAGCTCAAATAAGGCAGTATTCTCATGATGTACTGTACAGTACCAGTACGCCAATTTGTAAGTTTGGTTCTTGTTTTTATCTTTTTGTCTTTGTTTTGGTGAGAGAGCATTGTGTCTTTTTTATTGATTTTTTTAATAGTTTGTACTTCCTTCTACATAGAATTTGTTTTCCATTGATGCAAACTGTCGCCATGTCGAATCAAAATGATTTCAAGAGCTGCAACATCAGTGGTAGTGCCTCTTTATAGTCTGTGTGTATGCTCCAGCAGAACCCAACAGCTCCATACATATGTGTGGCACCAAAGGTTCTTTGCATAGTGCTTTGGCCAAATAATCCCAATTAAGGAAAGTAACCCTTGTTTCATTTGATTCAGCAAGGTATTTCTTCAGTACAAATACATGTATATGTATGCAAGTGGGTGGATTAAATACTTTCACTTTCATAATTACAATTAACTCTGCAATGGCAATTTTGAAAGTTCAAGTATACCATGTTAAGATTTGAGCTACATGTAAATGCTAACACAGTTTCTTAGCAGTGTCCTGAAATACCACATAAAGAGCATGCACATGTGAAGTATATGCCTATGTACATGATCGTACCATATACATGTACTTATTAGCAAAGAACTGTAAAGAGTTTTGACGTGTGGGCAACCATTCTTTGCAAAGGATTGCATGCACATCAAAGGATGCCTAATACATGTACATGTATTGGCAAATGAGTTCAAGAAAATCTTGGAGGTTTATGAAGCCTAAAAGATAAATATGATTAATCTAAAAGCCAAAGTATACATGTAATTTCACAAATCTATCACAGCTACCTTTAGATTGTACTGCTAACTCTTTTAGGCTACAATTTTACTATTGCTAAAACTATACACTGTAATGCTTTTATAGCACTATCCATGAACTAACAAACAATCTCAAAACACTTTACAAATGCAATCATTACCCTGCTTAACAAGCAAGGCAGGTCACCAGCCTGTATTTACATGTTTGTGTGTTGTTTCTGCCCTAACAGGTATCCATTTTTTCAACCATTAATAAACAAATGAGATGATATCGCCATCGGGGAGGATAAACATTTTTTAGACATTTTAGTTTGGCAATACAAAGGTTGCTTGACTGTTACATTTACATAAAGCAGACATGAGAAGCAGGCTGCAGTATACATGTTGATGATGCTCACTCAGATACAACGTACTCATAAGAAACAATTTCCGTGTACTCATTCTGCAGATCGAGGTACTCCTGCTGGTCTAGAGGTTAGGCTTTCTTGGCTTCTGAACATATAGGGTCAGGGGTTCGAATCCAGCTGGTAGCAGCATGTTGTGATCTCGGGTAAGTCACTTTAACCCCTATGTGCCTATCTCCACCCAGGGGTAAATGGGTACCTATGAGTGTAGATATGGTGATTATGCGTGTATTTGGCTGTTTACGCCTGGTATGGCAGAACTGGGCTGGTGTACATGTACTTCCCAGGGAGCTAAGATTGTTTCAGGAATATGAAGATGCTGGTATATATATACAGTCCAATGTGCAGGGATAATAATATATTGACATCTACTGACAACTACTGTTAGATACATGTACCATGTCCCTTATAAATGATTCGACATTGTTATAATTATTGTTGTACACGTACTTGCATGAAAAAATGTTCCATGTATCCATACTCATACTCACGGTAAAGCACTCATACTCATGGAAATGTAATTCATATACTCAAATTCAACACTACAGCCTAACTGAGCCTGTGCACACTATATTTCTGTCACCGTCACACATCCTTTGACTTTGGCGTAGGAGCACTGAGCTTTGGGACTATCCTGTCTCCTTATTGGTAGTCTGCCCTGATCTACACTGGTACCCATCTCTGCATCTTCATTCTCAAAATCAAGCTCTGCATACGGTGCCTCCAGGTCCAGTGACCTCGCAGGGCGCAGGGTAGGTGTGCCTGTTTGTTCATTTTCCCACGTTGTCATCTGAATGTCAACTGATCTCCTACATTTATTGTTACATCTACGTGCACCTACTGGTCGATGCTTTCTCCGAAAAACCATGAATGCCATCACTATGATAACGATGACAAGAAGCACTATGCCAGATGAACCGCCTAGGACCGATGCCAAAAGGTTTAACGACACACTAGTTTGTGTCACTGTATGAAATTTGACCGTGTCTTGAGTACTCTCAAGTGATGTTTTTGAGGACACGGTTGATTCTCCAATAACTAATGAATCAGTTGCGTTTGCTATGGTTTGAGGAGAACCTGTTGGCTTTTTAGCTATATGTGATGAGGTACTTGTTGCCATGACAACAGTGACAGATGCCCAGTTTGAAACATGTTTTATCTCACTGTCAGAAAAATAAACAACACAGAAATACTGATTCTGGCTCTCTTCAAGACTCACGTTCTGTATTTGTAGCACATACAAGTTGTCCGTCAAAGAGACAGAATACCTGCTTGGGTCCACATCTGGGTAGATCAAAGCACAGCGGCTCAAATAATACTTGGATGAGTCATTCCCATGACGGATCCAGTACACGTGGATGTTGTCACTTGTGCAGTTAAGCCGTTGCACTGTCTGGCAAGAAAATTCCACACTGTCTCCAGAGGTAACTGTGCCATTTTCTGGATGACGGCTGAAAAAGTCCACTGCTTGCGATTTCATTCCAAGATATATGAAACTTAAATGTACATGTACATGTATGATGACCGCTAGGCAAGTCTTTATATTTAGCTTCATGATGTCAAAGACCAATTATTTGTGGTGTTCTTGGCAATAAGGAATCTAGAACAAGCTGGTGGCGGCCATAAAAATCTCAGTTTGCATGTAACTGTACGGTACATAAATCACATCTAAAACTGACACAGCAGAGGACTTATTGTCTTTTAAATG